ATAAATGAAACAGACGTGTAGCAAGGAGCACGTTCATTCAGTGGCCATTTGATATAAATAAATACGGATAAAGTGTACACGCAGGAGCTACTCATGATCAGGATGGGGGATTAGGTTAAACAGAGGTTGATGATTGGTCACGGATGGATGAGGGATTAGGTTAAACAGAGGTTGATGATTGGTCACTGTTTGATGTTAAACAAACAGAGGTTAATGATTGGTCACTGTTTGTATGGGATTAGGTTAAACAGAGGTTGATGATTGGTCATTGTTTGTACGGTCCACCTCCCAAACCTGGCGAGCAGATATGCAGGCATACGATGACGCACACAGCGATAACGTGTCCCACAAGTGTACTAAAAGTAACCAAATCAATTAAACTGTTATCGTTTTATGTATTTCCAGGACCTTGGGGTTCAACCCTTGCTGGTTTTCTAAACAATTATTCTTAAGAATACGATAGACTTACCTCCACGTGGTGCACCCTGGACAACGTACTTTCAAATGGCAGGCGTTATGATAGGTATCATGGGGTATGCGATAGACTTACCTCCACGTGGTGCACCCTGGGCAACGTGTATTCATACGGCAAAAAGTCTATTAACTGGGAGTTTACTTCTCACTTCAAACTACCATGACCCACTGTATGTCATACTCGACTATTTCACAGTACTCACCTCACCTTTTCTACCTTTGTGTCTGTCTCTTTTACATCTTTGAAACACTCCTCTCTTCCCCCTCTCGACGTTTTTCAAGTTGATGTTCCTTCCCCTCTGTGAAGCCTGAAGGCAACTAAAGGTCTAATGATAACTATTCAAAACGCCTGCCATTTGATACAAACAATTTCCAGGACCTTAGGGAACACATTCTTATACTTCAATGGACAAACAAAGCATTAAATACGCATATATAAATAGTGCACAACTTGTTTCAAAATACGCTATCGTGATATACAGGCTATATTCGCAACTTGCATCCAATTTTCCTCCCATTATCTACGTTCATTTACTTTTCGTTGAGTTTGGTTGTGTAAGAAGTAGTTGAGAATGAGATAAGCTGAGCGGTTCTCAGATCTGAATTGTAAAGATCTCAATTAAGCGCTTTGTTATTTTTGGGCCTATTTGTCACCGATATCTAATTTTCTTGATGCATTTGCTTCTGATTAGTCCATTGCGGTAAATAGCGCTATAATTACTTATTTTCTACTAATCACCCTTTTTGTATTCCGAATATTTATTAATTTATATCAAATGGCAGGCGTCTTGGTGATTATCATTAGCCCTTTAGTTGACTTCTGGCTTCACAGAGGGGAAGGAACATCAAATTGAAAAAAATAGAGAGGGGGATGGGAACAGAAGAGTGATTCACAGATGCAAAAGGGACAGACAGGTATAAAAGTAGATAAAAAGGCAAGGTGGTTACTGTGGAAGTGGAATATGACTTACAGTGGGNGGGGGGGGGGGAACGGAAGAGTGTTTCAAAGATTTAAGAGACAAACACAAAGGTAGAAAAAAGGGAAGGTGAGTACTGTGGAAATAGTCGAATATGACATACAGTGGGTCATGGTAGTTTGAAGTGAGAAGTGAACTACCAGTTAATAGACTTTTTTTGCCGTATGAATATACGTTGCCCAGGGTGCACCACGTGGAGGTAAGTCCATCGCACACCCATGTATTCCGACTATTTTGCCATCGAAGTCGACTTTACTTACGCCAGAAGGAGCATAGGCCTAAACTAAGAAAAGTTTATAGAATGGGGTACTATCGACCAAGCAAGATTAATTACCCCCCTTCCTGAAAATGGATGATTCGAGCATTTAAAGCATTCCCAGTAAAGTTATCCTCCCCAATATGTAGTTTATCAATTACGATTTTATATTTCATCGCTAAACATGGTAAGCATCATGATATATGAAGGCGGATTACATGCAGAGACATCACCGTGTTAGTCAGAGATAAGTGGCCCCACCCGATTGATGCCTTCCATGATGAATTTGTTGAAGTACGTCGAGTTGTCTTTGAAAATTAGGGATCCAATCTGATCCACCCATTTCATTATTCCAAGCCAAGAAAGCCACGTTGCCTTCCTTCCCATAATATTACGTTCGTAAACAATATTTTAAAAATAAAGCTCACGAAAAACACTTATGAAAAATTAAGGTATTCCAAGATTTCAAGTTTCCTTTCTTCCGAAAGAATTGTAAACAATAATGCTGATAGTTATAAGCAATCATTCAAGTTTATCTAATTGACAGAAACAGATTTTATTTACTTTGTTCAGTTTACTTCATGCTCGGGAAAAGCCTTCACTTTCTTTTAATATTTAGAGGATAATAGGTTGATGACAATAACACGAAAAACAATCAACCTTTTAAAATCTTAGTTTCGTAAAAACTAGTGTAGAAAACGCTATTCACTAGGCCAAGAGGAATGCCAAATTTAGAGATAGTACTGAAGACAACCATCCAGCATTTTTAAATTTTATCCTTTGGATAACACTTGAATTTTCTCGATAATCCTATTTGATATTGAAAAAAAACTTTTTGACAGCAGTAGCTTAGTGTTATTTGAAAGTGAAGCAAAATTCTGAATATTCCCTAGCCTATTAGCAATGATAGCAATCAAATGGGTAAGGTTCTAATGTGATTAAGAGTCGTCATTTGATTATTGGTTCAATCCAACATGCACTCTCATTTCCTCTAGGGAACATGGCAAACTTTGTGATTTCATCGATAACGGTGATTTATGCACCAAAACTAAATTATGCAATTTAAAAGGCTTGGTGTGCTACCTCTAAAATTTGCACGTTTAATCAGAAACTGCAGATATTGATGTCATTTTAATTTTTAAAGCTTTGGCTGTATGCACCTTAGAGTACATCTAATTCCAACATGTGACTCCAATTCAGAGAAAAGATAATACCGATTAGCGGTTATTCCACGACTATTAATAGGAGAATATACTTGAACACTATTTCGATAAAGAAAGGGCATGTTTAGAATACCATTCTAGGTATTCAAGCCTCATATTAATGTCTGCTCAACTATTTTATATCTTAATAAGTTCCAATATTTAACAGATATTCAAATTTCTTTTTTTCTTTACAAAATCTGTTTGACGATTCTTCAAATTCACCATTTATCAACATTAAAGTGAGAGACATAAAGCTCTAGACACCTGTAATAATTTTGAAAGAAAAATTGAGACTTTTTGAAGTCAAAATAATGAATCTAATGAAATATTTTGTAATCAAAATCAATCGATGCTTTGAATGGCACATTTTGCTAAAACAGTGTTAAATGGTTTCCTAATTTTATCAAACTGGAACTTATTATTTTGAATAAATATTTGAATTGTACCTCGTTAATAATTAAGTAAGATAAGTAGTTTTTACTAAGTATAGACTTCTACGTCTATGCTTAAAATATGGGGTGTGCAATAGACTTACCTCTACGTGGTGCACCCTGGGCAACGTATACTCATAAGACAAAAAAGCCTATAAACCGGCAGTTGACTAAAGTCTTCAAACTACCATCACCCCATTGTATATCATATTCCACAACTTTCACAGTACTCATCTCACCTTTTTTTCTACCTTTGTGTCTGATACTTTTACACCTTTGAAACACTCTTCTATTCCCCCCCCCCCTCTGTGAATCCTGAAGTCAACTAAAGGGCTAATGATAACCACCAAAACGCCTGACATTTGATATAAATAAATACTTAAAATATTAGTCCTCAATATCGAATTTATTGAAGAAAGCCTAATTGGAATGAATTTTAAAAGGAGTTTAATAATACATTTGATAATTTGTGAGATAGTGAATCTTTGTTTCTTGTTTAAGCAATATGATATGAATAAATTCACTTGTATGCAACTAACTAAAATATATCAAGGCAATTTGAATTCGACATTCGGACGTGTTAGACTGTCTTATTCACTGGGTTGGGTATTTTAATTGGTTCATATTTCATAACCACCTGTGCCATAGCTTGCAACTACTAATTTTAAGGTCGTACTGACATCAAAAGAGTTAATTATTTCTTTAAGCATTATTTATACATGCCCATAATCAGGTAAATAATCTTTCAAAATTTCAGAAAATGTTTGATTGTATTTTGTTTGATTGATATTTTTTCTAAAAATATTTTTGTTCATACTACTCTCTTCCCATGTGCAACTATTTAATTTCTACTATAATAAGTCTGTCTTAAGAGCAAATTATAATAAATGATATCAATACAAAGTATTTGCCAAGTAATAGTAATTGCCAGAAAATTTCAAAGATTCTAAAGTTAATTCACTAACCGAAATGCATGAGCGAGTTAATTTTATAAAGCCCGAATGTATTTCACAAAACGTACAATTTCGACTGTACAATTGAACAATACCTAAATGGAAGGCTGTTCCTTCCTGCATATGTAACAGGTAACAAATAAGAAATACAAGAGCAAAACCGTTAATGCAAAATACAATCTTTTCTCAGTAATCTACTGGGTAAAAATACTAACTCATAAAAATGTAAAAGGAAATAATAAATAAATAACATTTAAATGCTCTTACCGATTACGAGAACCATGGAGGTAAATTTATTATTTCATTGAAATCCCATATTATTTACAATCATATATGAAGTTAAAATCATGCGAGTTACAAACTTTGCTTGATTTTACACCAATTCCGGCAGTCAACTTGCATATATGTATCTGTGAAATCCCTCCGATAAAATATTACAGTCAATATAGCACATCATTGGAATATAAAGCAACTCAATTAATTATCATTTTTAAGTTTACGATATTATAATAAAATATCAAAACAGTTAATAAAATTTGTTGCTCTTTTTTGAAGTTTCTTTATTATTTTCGTTTTAATTTATTGCGTTTTGAGGCCATATGACTGCGGCAAAATGAATCTTAATAACCTCCTTTAGGGACGGTATGATTGTCATCGAACTTTACAATAAGAATAGTCGTTCCAAAATCTTTTAAATAAGGAATATGTTTGATCAGAGTCACTCAACAGCTCTCTTTCTGCTTGAGGTTCTTTTAAATCACCAAGGCCCTATACACCTTTCTGCCCTTTATTTGTCCTTCCAAGCTTCTATGAATAATGCCCAGAGCTACCTTAATCCGTATGGTATTACAGTGTCAATGAACAGCATATCACTTGCAGAGTTTATCAAATTTCTTCAAAGTTTTCCATCTTTGTTCATAATTGTTGGAAATTATGTATATCCAACGGGTCACTTAGACTTCGAAAATGGAACCCCTGCCTTGCAGCAGAATATGTCTTACGTTGATCCTAATTGTTGTTGCGTGGTACAACCAAGTGCTGATGGCTTTCCCAATGGTCAAGTTATTCCAGCTTTTGTTGATCCTGTCCTACGAAGAAATACGATGACCTTTTTGCAGAACTATCTCCTCACTTGTGGATCTCATCGTTACATACCGATTCAGAAACTGATGGGGTGTTTATCTTACGTTTCACCTGTGATTCGTGCTTCTTTACCTAATATAAAATCTCTCACAATTTTTCTTCGCCAATATCCAGAAGTTTTCCATCTTAAAGAAGGAATGGTTGGATTAGCTAAACCACGGCGAATTTTCCGTCAAGTCTTTCAGTCAGATTCAAATGATGCCCACAAAACTTCTGTGTGTGAAACTTCAACAGAAGTTCCCAAAGTTGAAGTTGTCGTTTCCAGCACACTCGATTTTGTCGACTCCAAGCCTATAATCCTTCCTGCCTCAGACTTTTCCGTCATTCTTGTAATCCGGCGCATTTTGCGCCAAGCAGACGAAAAAGGTCTACATGTAGCAGTTGTTATTAAACAGCTTATTGATTTTCCCTACAACGTCCGGAAACTTGTTGGTCTGACTCGATTCGAGCTGCATGCGTTCGTTGAAAAATATAAGGAATTTTTCGACATTCTTCCCCTCTCCACTAATGGAACTACCTCAACTGGCGATGATACTGATATTTCACTTAAAATATCAACTAGTTTTTGTCTCAGGATAAACGCTAATGCTGTCCACATGCGCTCACGAATTCTCGACACAAATTATATTGGCCGGTCCGCCAATGGCAAGGACTCCTCAAGGTTAGAACAACACGTTGGGCGTGTTTTCCGCGTTGCTAAGTCTTGGGGCATTATTGATCTGGGAAATCATGTCCACGTATTCTTCGATAAATCGATTTTCAGAAATGTATCTGATCTGCAAAAGGTCTTTCAGGTAATCTCACTCTTCTCAAAATGTTTCTTTATTTTATTTATTTCTGCATCTATTTTTTATTACTGCCTCTGTATTCGAACGGCTATATATCTCGATATCGATTTTATTATTCATTACAAGCTGAAGTTCGCTTTCATTTGGTTCCAATGGTAAGAGATTTCATTTAATCCGAATATTTTAGTCAAATTTCATAGTACACTATTAATGGTAATTTGATCGAAAGTAAATGCTCGTTTGGTATTTATTATATCGAGTTTGATTTAATTGAGGTTGAAAAAAAATTTGAAGATTCTTCTTGAGTTGAAGTTGCAATAATTAATTCATTTTTTAATAACGCTTACATTGGAGAATATTTGTGAAGACTTTTTAACAATTTATACGCTAGATATAAATTATTACTAATGTGACTTTGCATGCAAGTTTTTGAGCCGATTACACGATCCGAGGTCGGGGGGTGGGGGGGGGGGGGGGGGGGGGGGGGGGGGGATGACGGTTTAGATGACCATCGTCACACATCCTGGGAGTAGAATACCTAACCAGGAAGTTATTTTTTGAAAATAGGGTTAAAGGGTTTCACAATCACTTTCTCACTCATTTGAAAAAGGCTAAAATTTCTACGAGTTTTAGTCACAGGATAGAAGCATTTTCTATTGCGGCTCCAAGCTTGTATGGAATTTCTCTATATAATGATATAAGAATTTTCAGTTTCTTGAGTTACTTTTGAATCCTAAATGAATTTTGTTGTTCTGTTTATTTTTCCCTATTGAATGTCTCGCTGTTTCCAGACTCACACCAGAGTTCTGTGTGAATTATCAGCAACATTCAGGCGGTTTGTTTAATTGGATGGCTAATCATGTCACCGATTAATTCTGCCTTCTAAAGGGCAAGAGTGGATGGTCACCGTGTTGTTACTTTGCAACCTTTTGTGCTTAAGCTTAGTGAGTTTCTATATTTATAGGAGGCAATTTTAGCCTAATTATTTGGCTAATGGTCACTTATTTATATCGTTTGGTCACTTTCTTAAGTGCAGTCTATGTGAAGGCAGCTATCTACTTTTTTTCATCTGTCGGCTATTACAGGTGGCTAGCATGTTGCCTGGAGAATGGGTACCTGGATATCCTTGGGTCTGTTTGGTGAACGCTTTTCTTCATTTAATTAGCTGGGTTTTACAGGCTTTCTAGAAAATGTATTTCCTTTGTAATTTTTTCTAATGGATATGGTTGCTTTAAGCGAGAATCTTATTTAAAGCCAGAGATTTTCCAAATGCAAAAAAATACTTTAAAGGTTTGTCATTCTATGAACATTTTTCACAATTTATCCCTTAATTTAATTAATCCCCTACTAAATTATTCGTTTAGCTTGAATGAGCTTGAATCGTAACCACTTGTTTTTAATTACGAATATACTCGTATTCTTTGCATCTATTTCACTTAATCCATTTGATCAATTTTTCGCATTAAGTTACAATTTGAATAGCAAAAGTGAAATCGAGAGGTTTCGGTCCTTAAACGAAATATTTGTCGAAAATGTTTGCCTTTCGACTTTCTTTCCTCGGAATTAGTTTGAGAGCCTTACATTCGACTGGGGGGTTAGCTTTGAAGCCGATTGAATTGAAATGGTCCAAGATTTCGATTTCTTAGAACAGAATTTAATTCAATTGTATTTATTTTTCTCTGGAGTTGACCAAGCCTAAAAGATTAGGCAGTGGTGTCACTATCATGTGGGGCTTACACGATTCAAGATTAACGTAAGCTCAAATTCGATGGTTACTCTGAGAATATTCGTACGAAATATTTTTCGTGGCTATTTTTGTCACGAGGCATTTATGTGCTCAATAAAATTTCCCTTTTCGATTTGTTGATAATTTTGCCTGTAACTTTTCTCTTTCTGCTTCGCGCCATTTGTATCGAGAAAACTGCGTAAAATATTGACAATAGAGATTGGCTATGTTTTCTGAATTTCAAGTTAGTGGGCTATTTATGGTTACAGAATGCGTTTGAATCCACAGATCTTCAATCTTTTTTAAAGAATGACAAAAAGCCTCCTTTACGAAGTATTTTGATGCCACTACCTGTTTTTTATCTTCGAAAACGCCAAAATATTCCAGCTTTAAATATAGAGAAATCTGTTGTCCAAATTTTGGATCAGTGAATGCGCAACATTAACTATTATGCTGTGAAACAGCTGATTGCAGTTAGCACTCTATATCCCCTTTCTCATGAGAACCAATTTATATTCACCAAATAATGTTTGCATAAGTTATCCATTTGTTAGTTACAGTCATACTACCAATGTGGGTACAGGAACGGTTAAGCTGAGATTACTAATAAGATTGACTAAGAGCTTCAAAAGTCTTACTTCACTTTCAACCAACGAAAGCATTTCGTTGCGCTAAATCTCAACTTCCTGCATTTGTCTTCTACTGTTCACGTTGGTTTCTACCTCTGCATTTCATGCCTTTTTAATGGGCTGAAACTGTGCAGTAATCAAACTTATCATCTAAAAGTGTGACGGAAGCCTGTTTGTGTTCTTTGCCTCCCTTTCCCCCCCCCCTCCCCCTCCCCCCACCTCGAATATCTCAACAGGAATTCGAAATTATATCCACTCATTTTAATTATAACGCCTATGTATTTAAATGTTACCACGTTGTCAGTTTTTGAGCGGTTTTACACTGTTTATGGCTGTAGTTTTTACAATAGGTGATATTCGAATGGTTCGATATATCAAATTTCCCTAAGATACCCCTTCTCAAATAAAGCTAACAGGCATTGTAGGTAAGAGTTGATTTACTCAAACGGATGGAGGTGCGCGTGTGTGAAAAGATTGTTTTCACGATGAAGGAAAAATTCCATTTACAATGGCCCATCATTTACTTCGCCTAAGCGAAGTGACAGTGGGTGGGATTAACTTTTCTAAAACGATAATTTTGAAGTAAAGTTCCCATGCTTTTAAAGTTTTTTCTATGTATATTCTCTTTGTTCTCTCTTACAAAATTGTACTTAGCAGAGGATTTGTTTTAGAAAAGTGTCGTTTCGTCGGCATTTTCCCCAAAATGTGAACTTTCTAAGTTCCTGAGTGATATTTCCTATCCACAGTGGTCAAACTTTCAAAAGTCTGCACAGGCCAATTCTACAGAAGTCTTATTAATTAATTTCTTATTTTTAGTTACAAAATGAGACTGTTCAAGATCGCATTGCTAGTGGAGACAACGTTAAATTGATTTTGCATTCAGTATGTGAATTCTATTCACTTTTATTTGACGTGGAACGACTTGTGGGAACCTAAGCTTAGTAGGCATTTTGTTTAAATTCTTTGCCCACTGTTGATGAATCATCATTTAATGTGGGTGTTTGTGCTACTAAAATAACAATTTCTCGACTTAAAATTGTTACTTTGAAAAAAACTTTGTTGATTAGATTTATTTGGCTTAAAAAACCGCTGAAATACATAATGAATACGGTAGTTGGTCTTGATGTTCTCCATTAAAATAAGTCATTAAAGGCTTTTGTTGAGGTAAAAGGCATGAATTCAGTAGTATTATTTTGTCAACTACTTTCAACGATAGCTCTGTAAACGTGAATCATTGATTAACAATTGACCAATCAGCACCCGCATTGCTTTTGTCGAAGGTAGAGTCATTCTTTTACAAAAGAAATTGATTTACTTGCCCATTTTAAAAAGGAATGCCCACCATAATATTTCAAAAACCGACGTCCAACCATCATTTAAAAGCTGACCATGTCTCAAATCCGTGTGCAATTAGGGAGAATGTTAAGACCTTCGATACCAATCTAAACGACGCCGTAAATTTTGTTTATTTTAAAGTCCGACGAAATTTTATTCAGGTCATTTCCTGTCCTCCGCTTTTATCTTTTCGAAAATTGCGGTTTACTGGGGAGCCATTTTTAACAAAATGCGTTTATTATAATGAATTTGTTCGTTCAAATTAGAATTTCAACAATTTGTGAACTTAAATAATTTTTAGCCAATGGAAATTTGTTGACGATTTTTTTCGCGACTACCAAATTGCTTTGAAAAGCTCCAAAAATCAATTTTCAAAATACTGCACTAAGGACTTTCATAAGGAGGCTTATGCTTGATTATCGATTTTTTTCCATTTAGCTTTATTACCTGTACTAGTTATTCTGACTCATCTTTGCTTGTGCTGTTATTACTAACTATGCGCAGTCGATCTCATTTCTTTCTGTTTGACTGCCGATCACTAAGAGAGCGGTTTATCATGGTGGCCTCTCGTATTTGCATACGCGGTGTACGTGTCGAGAGAGGCTCTTAAGAGTATGCATAACGCACCACCAAATCTGTTGACACAATCACACGTTATGAACATGTACCGAACTGTGGTTTTGGCAGTCATTTCCGAATAAATAAAACCAGTTCTTGTTTCATTGGAAGCGGTTCATGTATTCCTAGCAGTCATCCAATCTCTCAGAAGGTCATTTTTGGTTCGGTATTTAATTTCAATTGTGCAGTTCGCGTAATACAGTCGTTTATGCTATTTATTCGCTTAAAAGCTTTCAATTAAACAAGAGAATGTATAAAGTTCGGTGCAGTTTGTTACCGAAAGTATGCTATTTTGTATGCCATTATCAAAATTCTATTTTCTCGAATTAAATCTTTATTTTCCCATTTAAATAAAGCCCATATTTTTCTACATCTTTGTAGAGCATATCTATTATTTACAAAGGTAAAGGAATTATTTTCAAATAAGGGGGAATCGAACATTTTCATGTCTTGAAAAGAAGTCGTAACCAGAATTCCTTCTTCGGTGACTAGATTCTTAGATGATTGCTTTTGTGTACCCCTGTCAGAAAATGGTGGGTCGCCACTTAGACGTTACTCGAATCCTTAGGTCCAAAGCACCCGAGTAGTAGGTTGTTTTTAGCTTCTTCTTCAGGGTTCAAGGCCTAGCTAGGACCAATAATTGATGCGATATAACTCCATAAAATTTGTCATACTTCCTATTTTTTTCCAACAATTTATTCGATTCAATTTCCTTTGGCTGGCAGGCGAAATCCGCGTGCGTACGTATTCACATGCTTTTCTTAGTCAGGCTGGTGCCCTACAAAAGCCGTAGAAGCTAAGACACTGGGCTTTTTATTTGGGGGGGG